TCCCAACAGCACCCACGAGCCCTGCACCGTGAGATGGCTGCAGGAGACAGAGGCCACTAAGATACCAGAAGACACAGCCCTCTGGGAAGCACCACCTGCTGGGTCCGGCTACGTGGCCTCCCCCCCAACCCTGCTGCTGACGCGCTCCTTGCTGGCCCCACATGGAGAAGGCAGGCCAGGGTGGGGAATAGCCCGCAACACCCTACCCAGCCCTGGCGCTGGGGAATCGTCCCCAGGCCCCTCCAAGCTCCTCGCTGACCTGGAAGCAGCACAGAGGAGCTGTGCTACCATCACCCACCATCGCAGCTGGAACGGCAACACAGAACGTTTTTAATAGAGAAAGAGCAATAGTGACGTACCTGGAAGTCGGTCCAGCCTCAAAAGCTGTCAGCTCTGAGCATGTACAGATTACTCACCAACACGGCACATTGACTGCAGCCCTGATCCCTCTCGCTCACGGTCTCTTCTCTTTTCTCCTTCATTTTCAGATGGCTTTAATGAGGCTCGCTTGGTGATACAGATTCAGGCAGCTTTCAATTAATTGCCGTGCTGAACGCACGGGCCAATGAACGTTATTTCCTTTGCGAGATGGAAGAAGCCCTGTCATCTTTGTCCCTGCACCACACACCGTGTTATAAGCCAGGCCCAGACCGCCCGACGACACCCAGGAGAGATGGAGCAGGGGTGGGAAGAGGCAGGGTCTGAGAGCTGGAGAGCACAGCCTCTGAGAGCTGGCGAGGGACCAAGGGAGGGCAGAACAGAGGGGAATCCCACTGTTTGAGAGAATGGGCATAGGAGTCACTGTGCTATTTTGGCTGGGAGAAGAGCAATCTGCAAATGTGATTTACAGCCTGGAAATTGAACTTGAGGTGACTGACACGCACTTGTCTATGCACATTGTAAAAATCTCGAGCAGAGAGTGAACACGCGAGTGCATGGATGCGTGCATGCAAGGCAACAACCACAGTGCGGTGGCATTTTTCCAAGGCCAGAACAGCAGGGGCAAGTACTGTAATGGCCATTAAAAACAAGAGCAGCTGCATAGGGAGCCCCTTCAAAGTATTACAAGATGCTCTGTGCTCTGTTACTGATCCAGGACCATGGTATAACCACAGACTTTGCGAGGGGCAAATGAAGACACACAGGATGAAGAGACTCACCGAAGTCTGTGGCAAGGCCAGGGAAGACATCAAGGAGAAGCTGAACTGGGACGTCTTCTGCTTTCTGCTCGTTGCAGGGGCCACCTGCATGCTCTGTAGGAGGTGTAGCTCTGGAGTGGGTTTTGTTCTCCCTTGGGTGTGGGATCTGCAGGTCCCCGTGATCTCCCGCAGCAGAGGCCTCCACGGTCACTGTTTGGATGGAAAGACCCAGGAAAGAGAGGGTGCAGGCTATGCCATCCTTGAAATACATGACCCCTACTCTGACCTGCCTTGATCTCAGTCATAACAGTCTCCCTACGCTAAGGCAATCGCAAGCTGTCAGAGATCCTTTGCTTTGGGCCTGCGCTGGTGCCTTCCTGGATAGACCCAGTCTGTACCCATGCTCCCTATAAAGCTAAGCTGCATTCCCTGCAGCGAGCAGAGAGCGCATATAAATAATGAAACATTACCAGCTGCCTTGATTTTGCTGTCTCCCTTTGGTAGATGGCTGAACACCGTTCGTATGCCTGAAGCTAAACCCAGCCAACAGCATCGCTCCTGAGGCACAATGTCACAAAAGCAGAGCTTTGATCAAAGCTCTTTGCTGGGACAAAGAATGGGAGAGGGACATGAGGCCAAAAGCCTGAAGAGGGCTTGTTCCAGCAGCACAGCTGGAAAAAGAGCTCTCTGCAAGTGGGGACAGCTGCAATCTCATTGTATTCGTGTCTGAGAGAGAGAGAAAAGATGAGAGAGACGACCTGCATTAGCAAAAGCATTTTCCTCGCACCGTTACCATTTTTGTGCGCAACATCTTTGTGATTTTATTGACACCTCTGGAGCTAAAGCAGCACTCGGTGCTGTCTGCAAAGTGACTCAGTAATGTCAAATCTCCCCTTTATTTTCTTTCCAAGTCATGTCATAGCTCTGCCCAGTTCTCAAAATGAATGGTTGTCAGAAACTGCCAGGGCTGGAAAGGACCCTTAGATCTCACGCGGCAACCTTTGGTGCACCTTGTCCTACAGGATGGCCATCTTTCTGAGTCTATCCCATGCTTTTTGGTAATTTGTAGTATTCATAAAGCTCAACTCTCAGAGTCCTAGGGTTAGATAAGAATCTCAAATTTGTAGCCTCTGGAAGACTGTAGAGAAAAGCTTCAGGGGAAAAAAATCTATAGCAAATAAGATTTTGTATCTATCTCATGGCGTTTGCATCCAGATGCTCAATTTTTGAATGCATGCTGCTGACAAAATTGATACAAGTCATACAGATTGTGCAGTTCAAACTCAGTCAACAAGGGCCTGCGTGATGAGACAGCCCAGAAAACAGCTTGTTCTGCTGTCGTTCTAGCGGCATCACGCATCGAACTGCTGCAAGAACTTGCCATTTCCCTAGGAAAGCAGGCTGGTTTCACCGCAGAGCCTCGCGTAGAGCCAGGCTTGCCAGGCGAGGGGGGCCCTCCTTTTCTGACCGTGTTCTTGTTCTGCACTAATGAGCGAGACTGAACGCTATCGATTCTCCTGCTGACAGCTCCCCTCCGCCAGCCTGCCGTCCCAGGGCGGGCGTCTGTGCCCTTTCTGAGGGGCAGCCGAGAAGTTCTCATTCAGCACGTGTACTTGAAGTACGTTCTTCATAAACAAGATGACCTTTACGGACGGTTGCAGGTCATTAATTAGGCACACTGCTTCCATGTTTATACACCTCTTTGCCAGGTAGCACTGGTGTTGCTTCCAGCAGAGGCGGGGGGAGCTGGGACCACCCTCCCAGGCTGCCTCGCAG